GTGTGTGTGTGTGTGTGTGTGTGTGTGTGTGTGTGTGTGTGTGTGTGTGTGTGTGTGTGAGATAGGGTTGGGCATAATCGTATCGTGTGCAATTATCGTCAAAAAAACATTAATCGATTACTTTTTGGCACTTGACGATTAATACCATTAATGCCACCAGGCAGAGTCTGCTCGCTGCTCCTCTCCGCTTCAAATATGATGAATAAAAAATAAAGTTCTGTAATTTATTTATCTATCAACACAATTTAAAATTTGATATATAGCCTGAAGTCTGTAATTTTGACACTGTTTGGAACAGATTTGTGTGAAGAGCAAATCTTTTCCACTTAATTGGTCATTTGACACTGACAAATGACCAATAAGGTCATAAAGGTGTCCAGGGACTCCAGGGGATTAATTGTCAAATTAATTGTAATCGGCTAAATACCACAATTAATCATGATTAATTTTTTTGCCAATATTGCCCAACCCTAGTGTGTAAATGCTCACCTGGCTTCCGTTTGCCGTCTTGTACTGAGTCAGTAGTTTACAGGAAATTGCCACTGAGGGAAAATTACTGTGAATTTCTTGGTCTGTATTTACTAATGACACTGGGAACTCTTAAGAAAGTAAACAAAATTGCAACACCACAGATACTGTATGTAACTTTTAGATGTTATAGATCTGAGACAATAATTGCTGTTCTGCAAACCGTGTGAGAGCAAAGGTGAAGAAAAGCATGTTTGGCAGGAGATGGAGGGAAAACGGCGCAGAATAACAGAGGTGGTGCAAAAACAGACTGCCTTGGCCGCTGACCTCACAGAGCACTTTTAGCAATACTTCCTTAGACTATTTCATGGATACTGCCATCTTTGCCTGGTGCAAAGCATTATGGTCCAGTTTAAGGCATCCGGTGCCGGTGTGTGAATTGAATGACTGTGAAAATAGGTTGTGAAGATCGCTGTGCTGTGTATTACTTGTGTATATTTACAACAATGATCGCAGATACATGAAAATAAGTTGGAATATAAAAAATAATGAAAACACAAGATTGTCGCCACTAGGTCTAGATTTTGCACTAAATATGTTGTTACAGCGATCTTGGCCACAGTTTATGTTTCCCAACTACAGATCATTTTGACCACATATTACAAATAAAGCTATGGACCGTTTTAAAACTTGACCACATCTAGTTAATGGTGTACGCTTTATTTTATTAACAATAATATACACCACGCAGAAGGCTATAGATCACAGTAATAAATGCATTTACCACCGTTAAAACAAAAACGCATTTGAATTAATATTTATGCCAGAGTTTATGTATGGCCAAAAAGGATGCTTTACACTCAGCATTTAATAAATTATAGATTATATGTTTATCATCCAGCCCCACGTGTAATTCTGTTAATATGATTACTGTTTACTGGGATTTTCTCTGGCATTAGATTTGATATTGTGAGATACTATAGTAATTATTACATTGTATTTAGAGTGAAATTATTGCACAGCAGTATAACCTTACCTCTATTTTCCTTCCCCAGATTGCTATTTTAGGCAGTAGTCCCAACATTTAAGGAGTGTAAAAGTTCTGGATGAGTTTGTTCTTTTTCTGATTAGAAGTTGGTACATCACAAACCAAAAGAAACACTTTAAAATGTACAACAATCCAAATTTTAAAGTTTGAGAACTTGACTTTTCTTTCAGTTTCCCCCAAACAATCGTACAAACCATTGTATGCTGTTTCCAGTAGACAGCGCTAAACGGTATCTGTGAAATAGTCCATGCTGAAATTAGGTAAACTGATTAATTTTAGTCACTGTTATTATATAGACTGTAATGTAAATTTTTAAAGTTCAACTTTCTGTTTCTGGTTTAAACTTTGACTGGTGTTTCTTCTGTGGTGCAGAGCTCCAAACAGGGCTGGGTTTTCACATTTGTTTTGCCAAATTCCTTTAGTTGTACGTGTAGGCGTCTTTTACAAGTTTTAGCGAATGTCCTCTACACCAGTGCTTCCCAAAGTTGGGGTCGGGACCCAAAGTGGGGTCCTGAAACATCAAGGTGGGGTCCTGAAAAGTTTCTCTGAATTAATTACATTTTTCCTTAGTTGTTAGGAGTGAGGTTGGTATATTTAAAATGGATAAATGTAGTATAAAAATATTGTTACTATGCCCTGTTTTGTTGACCTGATACAAATGTTTATCATCCAAAAATAGTTGGTGGCACAGGTCTCTGCTACTGTTATTTAGTGGGTCAAAAGCTGAAAAGTTTGGGAACCACTGCACTTTGGTTCCCAAAGTTGGGCTTGGGACCCAATTATGGGTCATGAAGCACCTTGGATAATCTCCAGAAATTAATTTAAAGGGTGATAAAATAATTTCTGATGTAATATTTCCCTATATTTATTACAAAAACACAAAATAAGTATAAATAAGTATTTATATTTGTGTATACATGGTTTGGATTGTCAAAAAGTCTGTGTTTTTAGGGTTATTAACGAAGTTCATGTACTCAGACCAGTAATATTTGGGGTCACAAGTTTTTGCCATGGATATTTTGTGGGTCAGAAGACAAAAAGTTTGGGAACCACTGCTCTACACCATACAGTCTACTGCTGCCAATAGTCATAATGTTCCTGACTGAGCAGCATGTTTTTATTCATTTAGTTTGTATGGGTGTTCCTAAAGCTTTGGAAGGAGCAGGAAATCCGAAATTGTGTAACCAAAATGCAGTGGTGGGTACAAAATCTAAATATTAGTTGCACTAACCCTAAAGCACTAACTCAAATATGTAGGTCCCCTAAATCTAAAGCACTAACGCACTGAAAATTTTAGCAAAAGCTAATTCTAAAACACTAATGTAATAACATGAAATATTCTTCACAGTCAACACGAGACAATATTTACTGTGTGCAGAATGTTGTCACTTAGTGCCTTTGGTGGACCAAATGGGAGTCACCCGCAGGCCACATTTGGCCCGTGGGCCTTGAGTTTGACACCTGACCTTGTAGATACACACATATGAAGAAAATGTATGACAGCTTTCACCCTCAACTGTGATCAATAATATTTAAAGACCTCAGTTCGTGCTTTTAAATTTAGCCCATAAATTTAGCAAGTGTTAATCCAATAATGCATTTAAAACTAGCAAAAGCCGTAAAGCACTAATCAGGAAATTAGTTCCCCTATTAGTGCTTTAGGGGAACTGTGCACCCACCACTGCCAAAATGTAATAGGTGTGCTCCAGTAGTTTGCAGGTTTAAGAAGTTGAGACGAGAACATGACTGTACTGGTTTGATTTTTCAGGATTAGCACCTAGCTTGATGTTAATTCTTGGTTCTTTTCCTGCACACAGAGCGCTTTGTCACTGTAAAACATGGACAATAAACTGTTAATGAGTAACTTATTTATCTCTTCTACACATACACTTTGCACATTTCACGCTTACATGATTATGGGCAGTCATGTTTTTTCTAAGTACAGTATGGAGTCCAACCAACAAGTGGTGCATATTGAGCTGGGTTGCTGCTGACATGAAACACAACTCCAACACACACTGTTTGCTACGTGGGCACATTAGTAGCCTGCAAAAGTGATAAGCCAGCAGCAGTGAGTCGGGGTTGGGTTTCTCCGAATGTATTTTAGGATTTTTCTTAAAGCAGCTCTCAAGATTCTGGGATTTAATAAATTTTTTAAAGTGGTGGATCAAGTAACAGGGTGTGACATGAAGGTGTCAGTTTTAACTGCAAAGACATGAATAATTACCATCCTGATCAGTGCTTTTCATCTAGTTTCTTTAGGCAAATCATCTTCACTCTCGACAGCAGGCAGCTGTTTGAACAAGAATGTTTAATAGCATCAGAGTTTAACTCCTGTTTGGTAAAAAATGTCAAAGTTGTAGTATTTCTTGAGGGAATGTTCATCACACGGCACCTTTCATGCCAGTTTTAGACTAAGATCATTTTATGCTGAGAAGGAACAGTTACAGCTCAATGTGTGTCTTGTGGGTCACTCTCAGCTAATATTGCACCAAATGCCGCTCACAATCTGTAAAATTAGCAGCTAAAGCTGATTTTGTGTTAACTAAGGTTGACTCTGTGTGACTGCCATCTTAAACTGAGTTGACTCCAGGTGTTGATGAATTTTAGATGTACATCCAGTAATTAGTTTCTGAGAGTTTTATTAAAATCCACCCAGTGGACAATAATTTGTTTTTAAATGTATGTTTAGCAATTTAGCTGATGCAGCTTGTTAAATAAATTACAATTACAAAAACTGACACTGGAGCTATACTTATTAGTATGTTTATAATAACACTGAATTTAGTGAAGTATTACTGTGAAAAGACAACTGAAGGCATGTGAGATCAAACGTATTAACATGGTAACGTGACAGCGCCTGGTCATCTTCCATAGACTGTCTCATTTCACAGCTGTTTATGCATCCTATATTGGCGGCCTACGGCCCATGTAGGATGTGACCAACGTGGGGCGCAGTTTAGGTGGGCTGAAATCCTCATATTCTACTGTCAGAAAATGGTGACAGTTTTAACAAATACGTAAAAAATACATTTTTTATTGAAGTTGCTTACTGAAACTTTAATGCCAAAGTTGTAAAAATTAGGCAATGTGTAACATCCAAAGTGCCTGATTTACTAAAATCCCAAATATCAAGCACTAAATTGTATGTGCAAACTAAAAAAAATAATAATAACGCAAGTGGGCGTGGTGCAGGTGATCTATTAAGATTGTGTGCACAAATGATAACAGTTGCAAAAGTGGTGTGGAACCCCCTAATTAAATGAGGATTTTGCATGTGCTACTGGCTGTGGTGGGGTCTGTGGTGGAGGGATTACAGCTTATGAAGCGGAGCAGGAACAATGGGCCTCATGCAAGAACATGTTCGTATTCTTATCCAAAATTTCTCTTACTTTTGTTCGTACGAACCCTTCGTACGAACATGTCACGTCAGATTCAACAAACTCTTCTATCTTCAGGAAAAGTGTGTAAATGAGCTGCGTAAATTCC